AACAGGGTAGCTCTCACGTTAAGTATTCTGAACATCATTTTCAAAAATGCTCTGTGACCCATCTCTGCTCCTTCCTCACCATACTGCTCCCAGCACACGCACACACACACACACACACACACACACACACACGGGAAGCTGCTGCAAGGCTTCAGGCTTTCCACTCAGCTTCCATCACTGGAAATGCATCCCACAACGCTGCTGGTGGGGAGGTGGGAGGGTGCAGGGTCTCTGCTCAGTGTCTTCAGACCCACACCCATCCTGGGTAGCAGAGGGTCAGAGACTGAGGGAAGCAAGAGAGGGATGAGAAGAGCCTTGACTCTTCGCAGAGAGGTTGGAAACTGCACTTGAAAAGTCTGAGAACCCTCAGCCAGGAAACCCTCCTCCAAAGGGTCCTGCCCCTGGGATGGTGTGGGTGGGCCATCACCACTTTGTACGTCCCACCTCTTGTGAAGGGTCTGGATTTACATCCCACTCTCTCATCCAACTCCACAATCCCTGATCCCAAATCCTAGAAGTCAAATATGTTTTGGAATCCAGTATTTACACTGGTAATAGATAGATAGAGATATAGACAGATATTTAGATATCTATCTCTATATATCTGACCTCACCCCCAACACAGGGCTTGTAAACTCTAGTAAATTCCTAAAATAAAACACCAGCAGCATCTTTGTTCTATGAGGTGACTCCGGGGGGTGGGGGAAGGGGACTCTGATGACTCCTTGCTGGTGGCTGAGAATTGCTTATTGGTGTCAGGAAAAGCCTCCACAGATTTGGTGGCCAGAGGAACCAGCAGTGGTTTTGTGTGAGTAATAAAGCAGACTCGTACCATATATATCACATCATATTAAAGGGGACTCATACAGTATATATTATACATATGTTACCACCACATACCACAGGCTTCTGGAACAGCACCCATTAATCAAGCATACTAACATCCCTATTACAGGAATATTTGAGCTAAGGAATAAGTAAAAATCATAAACACATTCACATGAGTTCAGTCCATTTGGGCTGCTGAAGGAGTTTATGAAGATTTTTCTGTTTGGGGATTTTATGGTTGTGGATGCAGGACTATGAATCCATGGTCGTCTTTTTTTTTTAGGCTTTTTTTATTTTTGTTTTTATTTTATTTTTTGAGAGAGAGAGAGTAGGGGAGCAGCAGAGGGAGAGAGAGAATCTTAAGCAGGCTCCACACTCAACACAGAGCCCAACATGGGGCTAGATTGCACAACCAACCAAGAGATCATCGAGACGGGAGCCCTGACTGAGCCACCCAGGCGCCCCTCTGTGGTTGTCTTTGCAACACCACATCTTTCTAGAATTGCCTTTGTAACTTTATAACCCCTATCTTGGCAAGGGTGTCTTTTTGACATCACAGATGTGCCATTGTACCCCCTCTCCTTTGTTGTCGTTTTAACTTGATTTATTTTTGAAAGAGAAAGAGAGATGAGAATCCCAAGCAGGCTCCACACTGTCAGCACAGAGCCCGATGAAGGGGTCTATTTCATGAACCATGAGCTCATGACCTGAGCAGAAATCAAGAGTTGGACGCTTAATGGACTGAGCCACTCAGGCATTCCATTGTTTGTCACACACCCATATGTCACTGTAGAATTCCATGTGTGAGTTGGTGTGAAATGTATCGAGTGCTTATCAAGAGCCTGGCACTGTGCATTAAGTGTCTCTTAAATGCAAGGGAATCCTGTAACCATCTGTATCAGTTGGCTAGGGCTATCACAACAAAGTAGCACAAACTGGGTGTCTTAAACAAAACATTTATTCTCTCACGGTTCCGGAGACCAAAAGTCCAAAATCAAAGTGTGTTCAGGACTGGTTCTCTCTGAGGCTGCAAGGGAGGGGTCTGTCCCAGGCCTTGGTTTATTGATGTGCCTCCTCACCATCACATGGCATTCTCCCTGTGTGTGTGTGTGTGTCTATCTCCAAATTTCCCCTTTTTACAAGGATGCCAGTCATACTGGATTAGGGCCAAGCCTAATGACCTCCTTTTAACACAATTACCTCTGTAAAGACCCTATCTCCAAATACAGTCACATTCTGAGGTCCTGAGCAGGTAGGGCTTCCACATATGAATGGGGGGGGAACACTATTCGACCCCAACTTTTCTGTATTCTATGAGGTCACTTGGAAGTGACTAGGGCTCCAGGAAGCCTGGTTCTACAACTCACACTGTCAACCACTCTGTTATTAGCTGTGTGATCTTGGGCTAACCTCCCTCGGCCTTCGTTTCTTTGCCTGTAAAATGAGAATTAAAATAAAATAGTAGCTTCCTGCTGGAGTCTTTGCAAAGCAATTAGTGCCTGGGAACAGTAAGCATTAATAAATGTCAGCTGTAATTACTGTCACTGTTGTCGAATTCCATCTGTATACCTTGGGTATTGGTAACATCCTACGATTATGCGGCCTAAGTATCCTTGTCGTGGGACACGCCCAGACCCAAATAACCCAGGAAGTAGGACAGACTCTCAGACCCCAAAACTACCAAGAAAGTCACCAACAACCTTGAAGGCCTGCATCCTCGAGCAGCATGGAACAGAACCCACCCCAGAAGGAAATTCATGGGAGGGCACCCAAGTTTCTCATGGCTGCTAAGGGTAGACACTAAATGTACTAGGTTGAATAATGTCGCCCACCCCCACCCCCGACGGCCGCGGGGTGGGGTGGGGTGGGGTGTGGGGTGTCCGTGCCCTTTCTGGAACCTGAGAGTGTGACCTTATTTGGATATAGGGTCTTTGCAGATATTACCAGTTAAATTAAGATGAGGTTATACTGAAGTAGGAAGTTGGAGGCTCTCCATCCAGCAAGAGCAGTGTCCTTATACAAACAGAAGAGAAACACGAGACACACAGAAGGGAAACAGTCGTGCCACAATGGAGGCAGAGATGAGAGTAACGTCAGTAGCCAGGAAAGGAACGCCAAGGAGGGCCAGCACCCACCAGAAGCTGGAAGAGGCAGGGCTGTTGGAGAGAGCCTGGCCCTGCCAACACCTCGAATTCGGACTTCTGGCCTCCAGGACTGGCAGGCAGTAATTATCTGGTGCTTTAAGCCACCCAGTTTATGGCACTTTGTTGGAGCAGCCCCAGCAAACTAACGCCACTAGGGTTTCCCCACATCACCTGGAAGAGACAAGTAGGGAACCTAGGGAGCTCCTCTGTCTCTCTAGGGCTCTTTGGTCTCATCTGCGAATCCCCATACATCTTCCTTCCCCCTTTCTGTGTCTGCACGTGGCTCCCTCCATGCTTCTGTCCCACGTACAGCTTCCGATTCCTGATCAATACCCTCGGTAGAGCCAGGCCTGCCCCTGTTCCTGTGCAAGGGGACGTGATTGGCCCAGCTCGAGTCATGTGTCCACTCTGGCCCAATCAGCTACCCCAGAGGACTTGCGTCACCGGGTGCTACTCAAAACAGGCAACAACCGGGCTTCCACGGTAGCCGGAAGCTGGCCCCTGGACCAAGGGTTCTGGGAAGCGCCCTTCCCCCAACAACCCTGGAGGGGCACCAAGGGCAAGGTTTTGGACAGCAAGGGCAGAAGTCCAGAGGAAGCATCTAGCAATGGGGGCAGGCGGTAACAGGCATTTGCCAGCGTGTGACCCAGACTAAAGCGATCTTGGACAAACGGCCACAATGATCACTCTGAAGTGCGGCACCACACACACACACACACACACACACACACTCTTTCCCTTTTACTTAACCACACCCTTGAGTATGGGAGGTCCTTGATCGGCTCTGGTGCATGACTCAAACACGCTCCTCCTGAGTGCCCCCCCACCCACCCACTATGGACTCCCAGCCTCCAGCAGGTCTGACAGGAGGTGGGGGTTTCCAGAGCCACTCCAAACGGCCTTCTGCCTGTAAGCCCCCTTAATAAACCGTTTCTCATGGAGCTGGACTGGCAGACCTTTTTCTCCCGTCTTAACAGCTCCTTGGGCCTTTAGAGGTCATTTTGCACTTGCTTCCTTTTCACAGAACAACCAATTCGCTTGATAATTTCATTGCCAATATGGGGGGAGGGGGGGACATTCACAGGTGTCAGCTCAATGCCAGTTCTGCCCACTCAGGAGGGACTCTTTGAGAACGGGTAGAAGTGAGTCAGGCAAACGGCATTCGCCTCCACATGTACAGCCTCACTGCCCACCCCACAACCCCCGTCTGGCCAGTGCAGGCCACTCTCCCAACTCTGCCTCCCTCATTCCCTTACCTCCTGCTAAGGCCCCTCCAGGTCATCTGCTCTGTGGGGACTTCTCCGCCCACCCCAGCCCCTTTCATCCTGAATAAGAAGCCAAGATTCAGGGGTGCCTGGGCGGCTCTGTCAGTTAAGTGTCAGACTTCAGCTCAGGTCACGATCTCACAGTTGGTGGGTTCAAGCCCCACATGGGACTCTGTGCTGACAGCTCAGAGCCAGGAGCCTGCTTCCGATTCTGTGTCTCCCTCTCTGCCCTTCCCCAGCTTGCTCTCTCTCTCTCTCTCTCAAAAATAAAGACATTAAAAAAATAAATAAGAACTTTAAAAAAATAAAAAACAAGCCGAGATCCCGCTGGTTTGTGTTGACCAGCAGGCAGACCTACATGGTGGGGACGTTATGGGGCTGGGGGAGCTGGCCTGGCCCAGAGACACCGGTGTGCTAGCAAATGCCTAACAACCAGCTCTCCAGAGGGGGGAAAATGACTATGTGCCATTTATTATCAATTTTGTTGGCAAAAATGTGCAGCACAGAATCTGCGAAATACATATATAAAATACTTTTCATTGCAAATTCCATAGTCAATTCTGACAGATTACCTTCCTTGATTTTTCCCACTCCTGTCCCCAGAGCCACCCGGGATTCCAAGTGACAACTGAATAGTGGTTGATCCTGTTCCTTTAAAGACACAGATGGCCTGGGATGACAAAGATGTCCACGCTCACTGGCTTGCCAGTCATGTTGAGCAACATCTTCGCTAAATCCGATAAATGGTCCGAAAACACAAGACTTCCTCAATTTTCCGTGTGCTAGTCACAACGCAACAGCCCAAGACAAGACACACTTTTAAACATAATCTACATGTTTAACATCATCTTCTCCATCGCTGTCTTAAACAGATGATCCATACACAATACATGAAGCCGACCTGAAGCCTTTGCAGGCAGATGCCTCTTGGCTGATTTTAAGTTACCAGCGTGAGGTCACGGAACACAGTCGGCAAGCCAGGTCCTGCAGAATGGTGTTCCACGACACCTCCGCCACAGATACGAGAAGTAGGTGACTTCAGGAGCCCAAATAATAATAAGATGGGAAAGAAATCCCTAAAGTATAGGATAGTTAGGTCTCATTGAAGGTAACTCACGCTGCCTGGCATGCAACAAAGCCTCAATATTTCGTAGTCATTAAGTTTGTAAGTATTGTTTAACCCCGTGCCATGCCCGACCTCACGCCCCCCACGTGGTCTGGTCATACAGGGTCGCACGCAGTCATGGTTAACAGGGTCAGGCGGGCATACCTGACGGCCAGCTTGGCAAAAGCTGGGCTATCTGGCCTGCTCAGGGCTGTGTCCCCAACATCTCAAACAGTGCCTGACGACACAGGAGATGCTCAAAACAAACTCCATGCGTGAAGGTCACACAGCGTAGTCACACGGACCCCCCAAAGACTAGCCCCTTGAAAGCCGCAGCAGGGCTGTAGATGAGTCTTTATTTCTCACATATTGACATAAATAGTTTTTTGTTTTGTTTTGTTTTTTCCTGTTGTTTGCTGCTCTGTCTCCAGCCCTGCACAGGGCCTGGCATATAGAAGATGTTCAATAAATATACATTGAATGGATTAATACAATGGACTAATATAAAGTATGCCGTTGAGCTCAGGCTCAGAATAAATACCAAAAGTTCGACTTGAGGCAGGAGTGGGAGAGAGTCCCATTGGAGAGTCCTCGAGGAGGGGGTCAGCAGCGGGGACCCCTGCCAAGCCGGGTGAGGTAGAGTGGCCGGGCGTCACCAAGAGCCCCGGTGAAAGAAGGCAGCATTCATTCTCTGTCCGGCGGGGGGTACCCAGGCCCAGTGTCAATGGGCCATGGCGGCAGGGAGAGTCCAGCAGGGACTTTGGTGGCCACTCGGAAGAGGCCCAAGATCGTGGCGCCCTGCGCAAGCTGCCAGGCAAGGTGTGTCCCCGCCTCTGCGCGCAGGTGAACGCCCAGGCGCTGGCCTGCGCCCAGGTGCAGCAGGCTGCTTCGGAAACCAGAGGCTGAGTCCGGGGCTTTGGAGGATGGAGGCGGCAGGTCCAAGGTCAGGGCCAGGGCCGCAGCCCCAGCGCCCAGGGGCTGCAGGTGCAGGGCAACGGAGACAGAGCCCGAGCCGAAGCTGGATACCACCCGTTGCAGCTTCAGGTGCAAGAAAACATAGTAGACGCCAGGCTCTGCCACCATCAGCTCCCGCGAGTGCTGGTCGTAGCTCAGGCCGGGCCCCAGGAACACCCCTGCCAGGCCTGGGTCGCTGTACCAGCGCAGGGGCCCTTCAGTCAGCTGTACTGAAGGAGGGAGGAAGAAGAGGGGAGGTTGGCTGAGCACTGCTGGGGGGCAGAGGCGCAGGCCTGGGGAGGGGCGCTGGGGAGGTCTTGGAAGGAAGAGGTTCCCAGAGGGAGGTGAGGCTGGTAAGGGAAGGAAGGGGTTTGGCCAGGGAGGGCAGGGGGGGATCTGAGGGGCAGGGGGAGGCGCCTCAGAGAGGGAGGAGGTGGAGGGAGAGGTGGTGGCGGGAGGGTCTCAGGAAGCGGGAGAAGACAGAGGGGAAGGGTGGGGAGGAGAGTCTGAAAGGGGGAGGGGAAGGGGAAGGGCGAGAGAGGGGAGAATAGGGAGGAAGCGTCTGGAAGAGGAAAGAGGTTAGAAGGAGGTCTCCAGAAGCAGCAAAGGGAACCGGGGGAGAAGGAGAGGAAAGTCTGGACCTTGGGGAACCCAGTGGGAGAGACAAGAGCAGGCTGGGGTCTGTGGGATCAAGCCACAGGTGCCACGGCAGGCGTGGGGGTGGGGGCGTCCGAGGTAGGCACATTTGGAGGTCAGAAGAAAGGCGCACCCAGAGAGGGTCACGGGAAGGTCCGGAAGACAGAGAAGGTTCAAAGCGGTGAGGGGACAGCTCTTAGAGAGTGGGGGGAAGAGGGCCAGATGGGGGGAGTGGAGGCCTCCCTCTCCCGAGGGTTCCTCGGCCTCGTGGCCACCCCCGGCCCCCACGCCCCCCCCCACCCCCCAAGGGAATGAGGCAATGACTCACCATCTTGGGCCACCAGCTGTGCGAACACGGCCTGCGAAGAGGAAAGGCGGAAAGTGGGATGCAGGCCCCCCCCCTCCCGCCGCCGCAGTCCCGGGAGAGCGGGGGAGGGGGGTCCCCGGGGTCCGCGCAGGCCTTGAGCCCCGCCGCGGGCTCCAAACGTTCAGCAGGAGCGCACACGCACACCCCAGGCTGGTGGCTCAAGCTGGCCCCAAGCCCTCGGGTCTGCCAGGGCAGAACCTCGTGGCTCAGTAAAGAGGAGAGGTACCCTCCGGGGGCCCCCTGGGGAGGGACAGGGGGATACCCCAAGGGTGCGGGAGAAAAAAAGCGAGGTCCTCCGGGAGCTGAGAAAGAACCTCGAGTCCCCTCGGCGGTTCGAGATGACTAGCCCTCGGGGTCCGGGGCCCGGGATGCAGACGGGGTGCCGCCGGGAGGGGCCCCCGCGAAGGCCCGCATAGGCAAGGGGTGCGCTCGGGGGCCCCGGGGCTGGGGCGCATCTCACCTGCGG